ATCAAGTCAGACCAGACCAACAACCAAACAGGTCAGGCCCAGTCATGAGATGTGTTCTGGCGCTGTTGACAACGCCTGCGGAACACGTGTTGCCAGCGCTCTAATTTCGGGGTCTTGTCGCTGGCATATCTGCTCGCTGGAGAATCCAGCCGTGATGTCACCTCACAGAGGACAGTCACCACCTCACTTTGGTGGCAAAGACTTGTCCAGAGTTGTGGCTGTCTGTGAGCACGGCCCCAGCATGCTTACCCCAACAGGGTCTTCATGCACTGAAGCCACCGAGAAGTCATTACCGCAGACCCGAGGCCACGCAGCGCTGTCTGGTTTCTGCCTCTTTTGTACCGCGTGACTTCTACCGTAAGTATTTTCTAGGCCTATGTTTGTTCCTTGTGTCCTGTCCTACGCTGTTGTGAAGCATTTCTATACTGAATAAGCGACTACCATTTTTCTGGTGCAGAGAAAGTTCTATTTCTATGGAGTAAGCCTCTACTTAAAAGCTTAAAGAAAGAATCATTGTACGTGTGAAATTTCTGTTGACTATAATGAAATGACTTGTAGATAAGCGATAGACGATTCTTATCTTCCGAGAGGTTTTGAGTGGTCTCTTTTACCACACTGAGCTGCCAAACCCTGCATAGAGAATTAGACTCCCTACTGAAAAACTTCCTTGTCAACCAAATGGTCATTTACAAATGAATAGGCTAACACCAGACTGATGGGCACCTGCCCTGATAAAATCTTTAAAAAGCTGAGGCACAACAAAACCTAGTAGATGTTGTAAGTAAGTGGTTTAGATCTTCCTTACAAAGCCAATTCTTTGTGCTTTTTAATTTTGAGGAAGTGACTTGCAGAGCTGGGAGTAGAAATGTTAATGGATATGTTCCTCGTTAGAGGACACCTAGTAAAAGAAAATAGCCACAATTGTAAAGAATAATTGTTGGTAGTTTATTTACAACAAAATGCAAGGAAAAATACAGTATTAAAAATAATAAATAACTTGGAAAAAATCAGAAACTAAGTGATATGAATGAGAAATATGACAATCAAATTCTCCTGCTGAGCCTTGCATTATTTAACATGCAGAGCATTTCAAAACTTGGTCCTTCTTTGATGGTAGTGATGTATTGCCTGTTGTAGCCGTCATTGCTCTAAATAAAAGAAATGAATTACTGGACATTCAGCATCACGTGGAATTATCACAGAAATGAAATAAACCAATGAAATCTGTTTTAGTGACACCAAAAAACTACAGGAGATTGTAATTTAATGACCATGCTGTTCATTTAAAGCAAAACATTGTTAGACTTATTTAGCAATTTTAACTCACACATATAAAACCAAGTCCAAACAATGGAAACAGAAAAGCTCCTATTGACAAGCTCATGAACTCTCTCTTACTGCACTCACGAATTCATAAAAAGCATATACATTTGGCTTATTTCAAATGATAGCACATTGTTTTGAAGTTATAGTGCAGCAAGCTTCAAAGCAGTTTTAACAAAATGTAGCAGTCTTGTTACAAACTAAAATTCAAGGAACAAATATTTCCATTTCAAAATCTCTACAGCAGCAATTAATGCAAATTGGCTACTAGATGTCACAAAATCACCTTCCAGAATAATCAAAAAAGCCAAAGAATAAGGTCAAATAGTTCCTTTCCATAGGATTTATCCAGTCATTTACAAAATTAACCATTACATTCATAAGAAATCCCATTAAGTATGTGTTTCAGGAATGTGCTGCTCCTCACAGTCTTTATGGATACCTCCCATTTTTAATTTATTAGGAGATCTACCCTTTTAAAGACTGCAGTGAATTGCCAGTTATTTTGTAATGATTGTTCTATATGAAATACATAAAAGTATGAGCAAAGCTGGGAGGAGGTCTTAATAAAAACCCAAACAAACTAATCACGTTATTTGCTCTGAACTGTATTCTCCTTGATGAAAAATTGATGAAAAATTCCTTGTCAAGTCCTAGCAGAGTTGCATCATGTAATTCTTCAGTCACTGTGGCAGAGAATAGGAACGTGGCTATTGTGCCAATTCAGCACATACTCTAAAGATGTACTCGCTAAATAATCACATCATTTATTTTTGCAAAAGAAGTGATGAACACGTGCAAAATGCTCTCTATTTTTCTCCTAATAAACATGTTTGAAAATACAACAGAAAGCGCTGTGAAAAAATCAGTAATGAAAACAACCCCTTTGCCTCAAGATCTTATACTGAAGTATTCAGACCTTCCTTTTCATTTAATTTTGTGTGGTTTTTTGTGTTTGCTGGTAATATTCTAGAAAAAGTTATCCTACCTTAAAAAACAAACAAACAAACCCCAACCAAACAGAAAAAGATATTTAAAGATTATATTGACCAAATGGGTAATGACTAGTGGGGAAAGCAAAGCAGAACACAGCAGAGGGTACTTATATAGGCAATGAAAAGCTGGGGTATTTCTTATCCAAAGTAATGAAACATTACAGATCTTTTTATTTGCCTTCATTAGGAAGCAACATGGAGGCAATGCGGCTGATCATGATCCTTGTTGTGACCAACAGTGAATTCAGGCTGTTCGGTCAATAAATCTGGTTGGTAATCCTCGACAACAGCACTGCTCGGTGGAAGGGCTACGGCAGCAGCACATGCGGACGGACACGCAGCATTAAGCTGTGATTTTTCCCATGACGTGATCAGTGTCTTTCTCCTACATCTCTGTCATGCACCTATTAAGATGTGTCCTATTCAGGTATGTTAATAATTTTCATACATGCCTTATGCCCAAACCTACTTAATATGATAATCAGTGTATCCACATGGGATTGGAAATCAGTCAGTTAAATATAAGTAAAGGTATGACTGCTTTGGTCTAATAATCTCTATCAAACCCAGATGCCAAAATGTATATAGAAACAGTGATATGTAAGCACAAGGACATTATCACTAGAGCTGAGCAAATTCTTCTCTGACAAAGAAAAAAATCATTGAAAAATAGATTTTCAGGTGGAGCAGACATAAACCATTTCCATATAGGTCAAATTCAGGAAATGAAAAAACAACCAAACAATGCTTTATGTTTTCAAAGGTTTCCCTTCTCTGTCAATGTTCCAATCTTGTTACTAAATAAATAATAATACAAAGACTAGACCAGTTATAATCATGAATACTTAATCTGCACACTTTTTAAGCTGAAATCATAAACTAATGTAGGAAAGTTTTGTTTGCATCACTACAGCAGCTTCTTTTTAAACAAAAAAATCATCACCCATTAGTTTACTAATCACACAGAATTACTAGCTCTGAGAAAAAAAGCAAAGCAAAACATGGACAGTAAGAGGGAGAATGCATGAAGTCAGACCACAGCTAACCTACAAAGAGCTCCCAGATTTTGCTAGCTACAGGATTTTAACTATCAAACAAATAAATTCTTGTTTTCAGTGCAGGTTGGCAGTGGAATTACCTCTCCTGCTATTAAAACTACCCTATAAATATCACACATTCAACATAACTTCTACTGGATCTACAGCCATTGAGAAGTTCAGTGCATTTAAGCCAGCCAAATCACAGCATTGTGCTGAGATGGCACAAATGCCCCAGCCAGGTAAAAGGCCATCCCCAAACTGATTGTTCAATATTCAATGATAGTTCAGCTCTGGAGAACTCTCTTTTTTTTTTAATCCATGTACCATGTCACTGGCGGTACAAAATATCACCTGCTTTGATCATATGATTCAGGTAATAGCTGTCATTCACTGGGAATTGAACAGTGGCTTATTTAACGTCTGCTACAGGTACCAATAGAGACAGATACCGACAGCATTCATTCGATAGCAATTTGTATGAAAGAGAACAAAGTACCCCAAGTGGGGGTCAGTGGGGAAAGTTTCTCACCGAGCTTACTTTTAAAAAGGAAGGAAGGAAGGAAGAGACCACTTCTGCCATTTTTTTTTCTCCTCCTTCCACAATCTACACTTCCCTACCAGGAAACATCCTTTTCTACATTTTAATTCCTGAGATTGAAGAGTGATTTCACATGCAGACCAGGAAGAGCACTTCTGTTTCCTTAACGTCACCCTACATGGGACTGAGCAGCCCCACAATTCATTTGCTTTTTAAAGGGACTGATTTTGTTCACCCCTTCCCTAGACGATGGTAAAGCCTGGAACCAGCTTTCTGTTAGCAGAGATTGTGCTGTTTAGGAAAGATGCGAGGCAGGAAAGAAAATGGAGTCTCATATTTTCTTTCCTTTACATTCAAGGTCTCACAGGGTAACTACCACTCTTCTTCCAGTGAGGAAAAAGACAGAATTCATTGGTTTGCTTCTCAACTGGCTCAATTTAGCTGCTTTTTTTCAATCTTACATATGGAACACCATTGATGAACACCAATATGGACTTCAGAGATCACAAAAGGACAGGAGAGAGCTATTAAAATACATTATCTACAAGAAATAGGTGGTTTCTTTTACAAATTCTGTGCAAGATAGAAATAGTTCAATGGCCTCAAAGTCAGTATAATTAATTACAATTGGGGCTTCAATACCGTGATATTTTAGGTTTGAAAAGTTTTGTGTTTGTTAGCTAGGCCCCAAATCCTGAGTCATATTAAGCAAAATGTGAATCTGAGTGATTGCTGTTGGTGTTCAAGTACAATGAGTTACAGGTCAAAGGTTTATGAATACATAGGAGAAGCCTGAGAGTAGGAAGGATTTTAAAATCGGCTATAAAAGAAGAAAATGGGAGGGTTTTTTTCCTGTTAACCCTGCATTCTAGTTGGCACTAATTTGCCTCAGAAGTCCTTGGCAGCTTACTAAATACCTACTCCTAATTATAAATGCTATGACCTAGATGAAGATTTGTAGGTAGAACACTGCTACAGAAAGATTTATTTTCTTTTATAGGGTTCCCCTCAGACCATTTCATTGTACGTCAGTAAGACGCACCATATGGCTTGAAACACTACTTTAGGAATATATAAACTACGTTCTCTTGCATGCACTTCTCTGAAAGTTTTAAGGATCAAGTCTGAGGAAAGAAGTAATCTTTCCACACCAGTAAGATTATTTTAAGAAAAAAAACAACCAACAAACCACCATGACCTTTGTAGAAATTGAGTTACGTCACTCTTGCTGTGGTAGACATGGCTTATCAGGAGGAAACATGCTGGGTTAATTTAAAGGGTTTTTTTCGCTGGATCTGGAAGAGTGAGAGTTTCTGGAGCAGACTTTTTCCGAGGCCGGTCTTTGGGAACTGTTAGGAATTCAGGCGCATCTGTGGAGAGAGGAGTTGACGGAGCACTAGATGGAGCACTGCGGGTTGAAGAAGGCATGGAAATGTTAGAGATAGATATTGCAGGTGGGAAAATCCCAATCTTCTTGTTGGTAGCTTCCTGAGTTGCTCGTTCAAACTCTCGGACTTCATCCATTGTCATGTCTTCAACAAGAAGGAAAGAAAGATAAAGGCACATTAGAATAATTTCAAATGATCATTTCATTAACTCAGTTAAACTACTTCCATCCAAATTCTAAATCAGGGAATGATTGCTTATCATGCATATCATTAAGTGATTCTCCACATGAATGCCTTTCTATTGTAATGCATTGATTGGAATACAATAAGTGGCCAATTTAAAGAAAATGAAGTTAAATACATTAATCACATACTAATGGTTCTTCTTTTACCTGGGTCTGAACTGATTAAAGAGTGCTACCTCTGTAATTGCTGGAAAAATCAAGCTATTTCATAGGCAATTAAAGAATACATTTAGAGACACAGTAAGCAAGTAGAATTTTTCAGAACTCCAAACAAAATAAAACTAATAGGTTGTTGGGTTTTTTCCCCATCTAAATTATGAGCATGAACAAGTAAAGGGTTGTCATCGGTTTGTTTGTCTACTCTAATTATCAAGGGATGAAAAATTCTCTCTCCCCCCATGCACAGCTTCTATTGACTTCCAGTTGCAGCTGCATGCACATAACTGAGGCTGTTTTGCTTTTCTACTAATAAAGCCTAAAGAATTCCCTCTCACTTGATAAAGCCACAACACGCTTTCCAACTTTTCCATCCAGAATCTGTTCTGAAACATTTACGGCCAACTGACAAATCCACTGCTTAATTCCCTGCAACATAGAGGCAAAATGAGATGAGAGATTAAAGCCACTTTGCAATGGAAAATCGGGTCCACAGAAAGCTTTAAAAGCAGCAAGTGTCTTCTCATGCAGGTGACAAACGTGTCACAGTGCTGTGGAAACCCACAAGAGGGCAGAGCGATCCCAGCATAGATGTGCTCTGAGCTGAGCCGTGCAAAACTTTTTAGATAAAATCCCAAACGAATGACATCTGCTACAAACTGGTAAGTTGAGCAAAAAAATCAGCAAGACTCTTCTGAAACCTGCTGCTTCATGTGTACATTGCCTGCAAGATGTCCATTGGGCCAACTGAAATAAATTTTATGGTTTTTACTGAACGTCATGTTAGATTTGTAAATTCGAAGTATTTATTTAAACCATTTTATAGATTTTTTGAGCTCTGAAAGCTCAAAAAAACCAGAAATAAAACCACTAGATTTTAATAAATTTAAAATTCTCACACACTTGGGTGTCTGAGAGATGGGACTGGCAATGGTGCTTACCGTATGTATGACAACTTTAAGTACATCGATACTTCTTAATATTACCCAGCTGCATGCATCTGTAGCCTTGGCTGCAAATGTTATGTAGAAGAAGCTTTATGTTGTATTACATCATCATATTAAATAAACAAAAGCATACATGTTGCCAGCTGCCTTCTCTCTTCCCTGCAGAATACATTCCAGGGACCTTTTCAGCCTACATTGCTGTGCCAGTTATTAGGAGTGAGGACTAAGCTATTTTCACATCTGAGGTAAGTGGTAGAAATAAACAGATGGTCTCAGAGGAACTGTACCTACTTGTGTTAGAGATAGATTTGAACCTGTGTTGCTGATTTACATTTTGTTTCACACCCTGTAACACTGTGTATAGTGTTTCTGAACTCCAATGTTTTAAAAGCACCCTGACATCAAAGGGAGTCTATGCATTCATTTCAGCTATTTTTGATTGAGGACTTCTGTATAACATGAAACAAAACTTGTCTGGGATAAATGAAAGAGGACAGGAAGATGTCTCAATTTGCTGGCCATTTAAGTGAAGACTGATTAAAGTCTTACTAAATGGTATTCTCCAAGACTTGTCCATTTTAAACTCAGACATTAAATACTTACTGTCTCTTCTATTGGCTTTTTAGCTTACACTTGCTTTAAATTCACTTCACTTCTGATACACACTCAAGTAAAACCAGACCTTATCCTGAGCTAAGAAGGCTCAGACTCGCTTTTTGTTTCATTAATGACAAATTCTATTCTGACCTCAATGGCAATTTTCCACCTGGGAACTACGGATGGCAGACTTCATTCAAAGCCAAATCCTGAAATGTAGAGCCGAAGTCAGAAGTGATTCTCAATTTACTGCTCAGCTAAGGAGTAACATTGAGGAGCAGCAGCATTAAAAACACAAGAGTCACCTTCCTGGTTATTGCTTGGACAACATCTTCTCAGGCTGATGAGAATTTTTACTGAATAAGAACAAAGGAAAGACTTCAAGCCCTTCAGGCCTTGCCCCATACTCGTTACATGAGTAAAACCATCACTGAGTTCTACAGCGCAGTTAGGAGAAATAAAGGAATAATAACATTTCAAAAGCAAATACCACTGCATCTTTTCTATTTGCAGATAGTAATAATTTCTAATTTTATGCCTCTACTTGAGGTGCCCAAGTTAGGAACTTAAATACTTTATGAATTTCCAGACTCTGAATCAAAGAACCTACACAGAAGTCTGCCCTTCTCCACAAACTGCTGTTACATACTTCCGAAAATACTTCTCACCTTGTTGGTAGCAATCAATGACAACATTAAAATGAGTTTGAAAAGAGTGAATAATTCACTAGCTTTTTTTTTTCCTGGTGAAGCAAACAATTTTATCAGTCCCATAGAAATTTTCCACTCCCCATGTTCCTGACTTTTTGACTGAAGCACTCTGAACTCTTGCATTTATTAACTATTCAAATAATAGAAGGTAAAACTGATATTTAACTTCCTCTTTATGCATCCAACGGAAATTTGAGAATTGTGTTTTCCTGGAAGACACGGAATTGTATATGAGCCCAACCCCACCCTTTCTTACATCAGTGGCAGTTTACAGTGCAAACGAAAGGCAGCATTGCACTTCATGGAGAAAGATTCTGTTCCTACTGAAGGAGAACCTCCCCAAAATTCCACTGACTGGTCAGCAAGATCAGTTCATTGCTCTTCTCTGATCTGTGCAGTTGTATTAGCTGAGGATGGGCAATATGTTTTAAGAATCGACATACTCTTGCTTTGGCATGGCTCTCTATTTCATCCACAGTAGATGAATGTTGGTTGCAAACTTTAATGTTGGTTTTTTCATGCATATTTTTCTCGTATTCTCGAACATCATCCATAGTCATATCTGTAAAAAGTTCAAAATTGTTGGCATTTTCCATTGATTCAGTGCAAACTTTATTTTTTTTTAAGGAGAAGGTTCTAGGAACACATAGCCTTTCAGCAGAAGCCAAAAAAGGATTTTAAAAAAAGCATGGTGCAACTAGCTTTATGAAAATTGACTCATAAAGGTAGTTATATCAGCCAAGGAAGGTGTAAGAAGGTTAAGTCAAAGGGAGTCAGAGAACAAGAAGGAGTGGAAATTGTTCAGGAGTATCTGTGTAACATAAGGTAGGCAAAAAGTACTGAAGTGCAGGCCTTGGCAAAGGCCAAGATCTTCTAAAAAGATTTTTAGAAGATCCCTTGGAATAAAGGATAGATACAGAAATATTATAAATATTTACTTACCTTTCCAGGAACTTTCAAAAAGATTTTATGTTATCTTTGCATAGTACATCTCATGACTAGCAAGCATTCTTACTGTTAGAACACACATCAGCTTAGATTCCAGAAACTAACACTTAATTATACTCGTAATTAAATTAATAGTGAATACGTTAACAGTTTTGTAGCCTCAAGCAATTTAATGAATTGTAAGAATTAGAAATATTCCACAAATCAGGCTGATTCTACCAGTAGGATCATTTATCACTGTCTAGGCATGCCTGATGTCAAACGAGTGCATAATCTGTTAGGTGTTTGCTATGTAACTCAAAGCAATTATTACAGATTTTAAAAAGATAACCCACACTTCCAGTAAAAACATAAAGAATCCAATTAATTGACTTGTGACCTTACTCTTTTGAGTATTCCCATGCTTTCAATAAATCTACTTGCAAGTGTGGTATAAGCTGTCAGAATTTTGGTCTGTTCTTTACAACGGTTTGATAACTTCAGAGCTTCATGAAAATAGCCATCAACTTTTTACTGTGGTAATGTACACTGTGTTTTTGTTCTTGAGGCTATCATTTTTCTCAGGTTTATTATGTGCCACTTGGATTTGCAAATTCTTATATCACACCACTCCTTTTTATGTGGTATAAGGTTCTTGCTGCATTTTACGAGCTAGCTTTTAAGGAAAGATAAAACTTTAGCTGTTATATCAGTAGCACAACGTAATACTTCAACAGTGAAAATGAAATGCAGTCTAAAATTTTGATCAAAAGGAAACACAGATTACCACTAACTTATACTCTTTTAGCCTTTTCCTTTTACTGTTATCTGGAATGAAAAACAAGCTCATAGCCATGTCAGTAACATGCTAAGGATGCATTTTGCCAAGCAGAGAACATGCTCTTTATTAGTAAATAACACTGTGAAAATAGATTTTCTTAATAATAAAGCTAAATACAGTTTAGTAAATTTAATGACAAGACACATTCATACTTACAATATCAGTAAGAGTAATCAATCATTAATACCCATAACATAACATGTTGTTTAATAATTGATTTTATTACACTGATTATTTGATTCAGTTTAGCTGACTTATATCATCTCCAAGTCCTTCTCAAACTTTTATTTTGAAAGATGCTAATAGACACGTTGAAGGCACACAGATGCTTTAAAAATTGTATTTTTGAAAAACTCTCCCTACACACATAAACATGTCAAGAGCAGTACCACAACAGTTTTACAGATCATATATATTAAATTGAACTGGATGTATACAAATTGGATCTCACTCATTTTGGATAATGAAACACTTGGTTTCTAATCAGCAAGTCTTACCAACTGTTACACTTCAGAACAATGCATAAGGCTACAGACAGCATAGAGAGTTACCTAAACTAACTTTCTGCACTTTTTTTTTTAAAATGTCTTGCTATATACTTGGCCTTTATTCATACCTATTTTAGTAAGCCCAGATTTTTTAGGTTTTGTACTTAGCCTGACAATTAAGTTCTAAAAGCACACTACATTATTTAGTAAAAAGACTCACCGTGACAGTAAAAATCCACAAGATAATTGTGTATCATAATATTTCATTTGTGGAAAGAGTATTTTTGACAGGGTGCATTCAGAGTTAAGATGGGAAAATCTGTGGTTAAATGTTTTTAGGCTAAACCTATTCCGTACATTTAACTTCACGATTACTCACTTGTTATCATTATCAATAACTCTGCTGAAGTGCAGACGACTCTTTGCTTCCCAGTAACATTTCTTTATGTCTTGCTTTAATAGATATTTTGGGTAGATTTGGGGCAAATTTGTGGGCTCAATTTTTACATGAAGTCAGGCTTCTGTATTTAAAGTTATCAGTTTCCCTGACTTCGTACAGGGAAAATAACAGATCACTATACGTCAGGTAAAAAATGAAAAAAAAAAAAAATTACAAAATAAAAAATATAGTATCTCTTAAGGACTCCTTCTCACTGGATACAAAATTCTCTCACTAGTTTATGGCTATCCCAAAGTAGAAGAGATTTTTAGTACATTTCAGTATTTCTATGATCACTGCAGCACAGGATTTTCATGCACTATTAAATTTATAAGAACATGGTGATTTCAAAAGCAAATTTTTCTATATTCTGAAAAAATCAGCACAATGAGTTTGTTGTTAGATTCTAGTGTCAAATTATGCAGGTTTATGAAGTCACTGTTGATGTGTGTGTTTACACCAGCTGGGCTAATTGACTATTTTTAAGCAATGCAGAATGTTTCTGAATTTTGATGAAAGACAGGTGTCATTCCTACCCATGAAATGCCCAAAACGGTGCTTCCTGAAGCTTAAAGAGGGTCTAAATAAACATTCTAAATATATTCCCAAATTGCTATTATACGTTCCAGGAATGTCTTGGAAACTGTTGTACAAGTATCTGTGATTATGGATACATCTTACTGAAAATAGATGTAGAAAGCACAAACCCTGTGAGCTTATTTTACAAAATATAATTGGCTGTTTTGATATTCAGGATTACTCTGTACTATTGGAAGTGCCCATTCCTACAGCTGGTTCATGGATTCAGAACAGTTTTTGCATGCAGCTGCTGTTGAATCAGACCCAGTAGGTTTTACATTTATATCCATTTTTCAGAAAGGACATTAGAGCTCCATCTTTTCTTTATTGCAATCCATATTAACAGTTTAAAACTTTCCTAAAAAGCTAAAATTGTGTCGGATCAGAGACCTTAGGAGTTTGCAGTATGGAAATGACTGCATTTTAGTTCAGTCTTAATAAGCAGCTTTATTCAAACCTGCATGTGGTTCTCCATATAGATGACTCTTGGCAGGGTCAGCTTCTATCTGCCTACAATGCAGGGTGACTGGACTGATGCATATCTGAGATGTATGGGATGTAAAGGTGTCCCTGTATGCTGCCTACTGGCTGCCTAAAATACAGCCTACTCTTGTTACAAATAACCTGAGCTCCGTATGTTCCAGAAAAACTGAACATAGTTCCATCTCTTTCATGAATAACTTATACCAGGACCTGATGGTCCATGAAAGCAATGGAAATCTGTTGTTAATTGTCATAAGTTTTGCATCAGCCCTTTTAAATGGGCTAAATTTGGAGAATACTTACCGTACCACTCATCAACCCAGGCAAAAGCCTGCCGGTGACCAATCAACAGTATATCTCTGACCACCTGCAAAACAAGGAAAAGGTCAAATAACTTCTCTAGCCACAAAACATTTTAGAAAAGTAACACTGTAGTCTTTCAACATGACTTAAACTGAAAAATATTCTGACAGTTTTGTCTCTAAAACGTCATGCCCTAGAGAGTCAGACATACTGGCTCTGCAGGTCTTGTAGTCCAACCTCCCACTTGAGGTGGATCTGTTCCAACACTGGATCACATTAGCATGGCTTTGACTAGCACGGGGAGCCATTTGGGATGTGTACAGAATCCATTAATCTTTGGGAAATTAGACGTTCTGGAACTCTTCTTTTTCCTTGTTAGTTTTTTAAACGTGGAAGGTCAATACTTTGAAGACTATTATCATTTGGCTGTTATACCATTAATTAATTAATTTTTTAGCAGACTGATTGGAAAACTTTCCCACTACCTGTTTGTAAGAAATTCTGCATATCATTGCTACATATATGGTACTCATGTATACTCACAAATACTTTAGCTCACATATTTATAACAGTACTGAAAATGTTACTGATAGTTTTTCTCAACCTTAGACCTGAGCAGCTCCAGGTTTTGTCAAGTTTATACCCAGAGATGAACTCTTTGGCTCTGCTCCAGATCTTTCAGACCTTGAGAGAGGTCTGAAAGCAGATTCGGCTGAGCTCCCTAGCTTCTACACAGCCATAGTTACCTTCCTGTGCAGGGTGGTACTCAAGTTCTGCTTACGTGAAGGACAAGAAACAGCTCCTGTTTCACTGACCTTGTGAACAAATTGCTCTACTCTGGTTTGAAGTCCCCAGACTTCAAATTTCACAGTCACAAGTTTGTAGGAACACATAATTGGCTGATGGGTCTCTCTCCAGCCTTCTTTTAATTGGCCTCTCCCAGTCTTCTGTGACTTGAAATATTTAGGATCCTGCAAAACAAAGAAAACATACTGAGAAATGCAGGAGAGTAAGTCCTGTTTGTCAGTTTGCTAAAGTATATGCTTTGATAAGACATAAAATATGAAAACATGCTAATAAACATTATGAAAAAGTAATATGAAATTGACTTAAATAAGCACTAGGATATACTAAAATCAAATCCTGTCTTTTATCCAACAGCCAGAGAATCGATGGCAGCATATTCTTGCACATGCTTTGACAATCACAGCATCTAGGACGTTTTCTGCTGTAGGAAAATACATTATTGCAAGTCATTACAATACAATGCACTCCAAGTATTATTTATGCCTTTGAAAAAAAAAAAGTGGCTTCTTCAGAGCTTGCTTTTCCACTGCCTCAGTGTGATTTACTAGTACCTTCTGCCCATGCCTGTCTTCCTGAAGTCACATCCAATTTGAGCTTTGACACATCAACACTGATGTGACCCTGACAATGCCATTTTCGATTTTAAGTGAACTTGTATATCCAGGTGGGCAGCTAAGTATGAAACTCCTCCAATTTAGCCATCTCTGGTTACAACTGAGTTACGGTATCTTTGGGCAAAACACTGAATGACTACTTTCAACTCTATCTCTCTTTTACTAACTGGAAAAATCAAATAAATTGATGTTGAAATTACAACAGCAAGACCAAAAAACCAATAAGGACATTAGTTCATCTTTAAGGTTTACTTTTATCCATACAAGATACAGTTTTATCTATCAAAGTGTTATTTTCTATATTGGTATAATTCCATCTCACTTTATGTCCTGCTAATTACATCTTGTAAATAGAAATAACTTATGGTCAAACCTTGATTTTCAAACCTTGAAAATAATGTGATTCCAGTAAATTCATAGTGGAGCTTCTAAAATCTGTCTTCAAGAATAACCACCAGTGCCCATCAGTGTTGCCTTCCCCAAAGCTGAGATCTGGGAAGACCTTTTAAATCCCTCCTTTGTTATAAAAGCAGTTAAACATGTATTTAAGTATGTGCTTAAATTATGTGCTAAATGGAAGACAATCAGAAGAAAAACTAACAAATTGATAAGACTACTCTGATCTCAATTTTCTTTCATTAATTGTGAGCTTGCATATCATACAGCGTTCTTTTTTTCTAATGTTTCATTATCTCCTGACTTGCCCTCTGATTTTATCCATAAACTGAAGCTCTGTCATTAAAGCTTCTTTACAAAGCTCTAATGAGGTGATAGTCTTCCTTCTCTGTGAAAGTCATTGCTTTTATTGCTGACATATTCTTTTCTAAATAGAAACTTTAAGCTCTCGGTATAATAACGTTTCAATGTTAAATCACCATAAAAAACAATTCAGCGTCATCATATATCAGAGCAACATACCACTGTATATCACAACTCATAGTCACATGCTGTTGCCAATCTTCTCACTCAATAAAGCTTGACCTCAGATTGATCTACATATTTTCTGGTTGAGAGTTGTTTTATAACTGATAGTACTGACTGAAGCAATCAATATAATAATAATAATAAAAAGAAAAAGAAAAAAACAAAAAGGGAAGAACGAAGACGTAATATTCAGAAAGGAAAAAAAGGAAAATCAAAGGAAAATAGTTTAATGTAAGGAAGGGTCTGCTGTTTCTTACATACACATATGGTGCTAGGGTGATGGAACCATTGTCTTGATTAAGCTTTTCAGATACACACTTTAATAATGAGCGTTACGCAGCGATACTTAATACCCCTTCAGCGATAACCAGACCTATAATGGAATAACTTCAATGCAGTCCAAAGGGATTTAATGTAATGGATTTGAGTCAGTATCAAGTACTCAGAATTTATAAATAAAAATTAAATAGTGAACAGCTACCCTGCATGACTGCTCAGTCATGCATAAAACTTGGTGTCTCGTTCAAACTGCAAGAACTCTCTGGATGCTGTGAAAGCAATGTTTTACTTTGCTTTGTTTTGTTTTATTTTTGTGAAGTTAACCCAGCAGACAAGGGGATTCATAGCGGAAATTGTTCTTCCATTGGTGACCTACAAATAACCCACTGACTGCAATGCAATTCATCCATGACATCACTCCTAGTTGCAAATTCCTTTAACAGCGCTCAGAGATGGCACCTTTGCTTCCCTAAATCATGTCCATTTTTCTTGAAGGACATGATGTTTAGTCACAAATTGGCTGGACAATTTCAAGCAAAGAGCCAGGCAATGATGGACAGTATGGGCAACTTATATCTAATAGCTTTTATGGAAATTCCTGCCTTTCTGAAAACACTGACATACTGATACTATAAAACTGTAGACTGATGAATGGAAGCCAGGAAACAGAAAGAACCCAGAGGAATAGATTTCCAGACTGCTGTGTGAAAGATCAAGATGTTAAAGATTTTACTGAGTGCTTGCTCAGGTGCTAAAACTCAAAGGTTGCGTATAAACTGAGTAGTGGGATGTAAGATACACAGCAACATTCAGCAAAGTGAACTTGAGAGTTTAACCTCTGGGCCATCAATTCAAAGGGCAGGAGTGTTTTACAGAGGTGAGTTGTTACCATAAGTAAAACTACCATCACTGGGCTTTTTACCCAGATGCTAAAAAATTAGGTGTTTAAAAGTCTTGGACTATTTTAGAAAGACACAAATTCTGGCTCAGCGATTGCTTGTGCTATGGTTCATAGGAGAAAGTATTTAGGGGAAGAATCTCTATATTTATCTCTATATTTTGCATATATTTACACCTTTCCTAGGCCTCTGCTATTGGCCACAGCCACAGGGAGCATACCACGCCAGAAGGACCTTTGGTGTGACCAGGACTGCTAATCTTTTGCTCTTCAATGTCTGATCCAAAGCCCACTGAAATCAATGAGAACTTTTGACCTTTGAAAGCCACAACCCAGAATGATTTTATGTGCCTAACTCATGGCTTCAAATTGTCACATTAAGATTCACAGCCTGAAATCCTTTCTGCAATTACGCATATAAGGTCCTTCAAAAAAAAAAAAAAAAAAAAAAAAAAAAAAAGGGATAATAATATAGAGGGGGGGGGGGGAAGAAAACAAAAGAACTAGAAGGTTGCTCCTCCTGATTTTCATGCAGTACCTCACTGGTTAGGTTAGTCAGATAGAACAAACTAGACTCGTGCCATGCTCACATCTCTCCTGGTCCCAGGAAAAGCCTGTACTTATCACGGCCGTTCTTTATTCTTCCTGTGAAAGGTATGGCAATTTGCAAAACACATACCACAGGCACCAGGCTAGAGCGAAGAAGCATACTCTCTAGGCAGGAGTTGTGGCACACATGAGTTTGAAACACTTCTGTCAGTGACTGGAAACTGGGCAAACTAATCTTTGGTCTGACCCCATTTTTATGTTATTATTTAGATCATTAATTTTGTGTGGCCTTATTTTTGCTTTTAGCCACCCATGCCTTCCTTTCTAGAGAAGCCATCACCCAAAGAATACTGCGTCTATTCACTGTTTTCCCCTTAATTTATCTACTGCCAAAATACTCAATCTGTTTTAAATGTAATGGCATAGCTAAAATCTTTTTGTTTAAATAACCTTCTCGTCCTTTTATCAGACACAATTTATTAGGAAAGCCCATCTGGCAAATCCTTTTGCTACAGAGGAGCAAAACCTACTCTGTATTTGCAATACATTATTGCCAGGTGCAGAGTGATTTAAAAATAGCACTTCTGCTAACATAGCAGAAACATCATTACCCATGAGCTAGGCTTATTTGAGAATAAAATGTAAAATTACAATAAAATAAAGGCCACAGTGTGATGGATGTGGTTTCAAATATAGCACTCTCCCAGTGTTTCTTACTTAGGCCACGTCTGGCGGGTCCTGGCTCAACATGCTTATTGTTGGAGATTCCATTATTTAGCATTTAGCATTTATTTACTTAACCTTCCTCATGGACTGCAGACGTCATGGGCATCAGATGTGGAATTGTAACCCCCTTTCCAGGAGGCAAACACTAAGATGTTGACAATATGGCACTGGATTGTTGCAATGGCTTTTCAGATTTAATTCTGGAATGTTTTTTTTTACTTCAAGTTAAATAATGAAACACAGAAAACTTCCAAATCTGAATGGGCATGCTTTCCCTTAGCTTTGTCATGGTACCAGACATGATTTGAAGATCCCATACTATTCTGCAGCTGACACCACCTCCTTTGTCTGTATGCTGGAATCCTGTATGTTTCCTATAAGGAATCCTATGGAATGTCTTGTTATCCTCGTCACCGATCTGTCTCGAAAATGACTTGCTGCTTGTATGGCCATTTTAGCATGGAGGAAGATCCCCAAGCTGAATGTGTTCTCCAGAGGTGAAGGCGCATTGTGTTAACGCCATACATCCTATTCTCTCAGTGGACGCTACTCAGATGTCCCAGAAACAAAGGTTCTTCCTTCCTTTTAATGCATGGATTTGTTTTTTCAGACTCCTATTGAAATATATTGCACCACTGTGCTTTTGAAGTGCAGTGAATTTTTTTCTCTCTTTAAGCTGAAGACATTTTGTTTGATTTCAGAACCAATCCTTCACGGTTTTAATACACGTGATCTGGCATTTCACCACCAGCTGTAGTTGCTAGGTTTTGGATTTCAGCTTATACAGCTAGGGCTCTGGAAAGATTTATTGATGTAAAGATGCTACTATAGAGATTTATGTGGAGTCATTTTTTAAAGACTTTTTTTTCTCTTTTTGAATTTCCATTAAAATGTATTTTCTGGAAAAGCCAGCTAAATACTTCAGAATTGTAAATACTGGGACAGTTCTGAGGTGTTAAAATATGATAATCCAGCCAGCCTTTATGTAATCTCACAACTGAAGTTAGTAAGGAAAAGGAAATTTTCATCTGTTTTTGCTACGCCCTGTACTGAACTACTGCACTGACACGTTGCACACATTCACTGTGGGGGCTTGAGACAGCTGTATTATTTCAACTACCGTAATTTTCTGGCTCCGTAATGTGACAGCGGTTTTGTTATTCTGAAAGCACCTGGACAGTAGTAAGCTGGACCTATTACAGTGCAGCTGTGTAAAAGTCAAAAAAGACAGCAATTCAAGAACACTGCATGAAATCTTTCTGTTTGGAGGTAACTTAAAAAGTTTATTCCATTTGTCCAACTCTCAACTGCTTTGTTATAAACAGGAAACGAAACTGTTAATTTTGAGAACTTGAATATGGTGGCAAAGAACATTTTGCTCGATAGCTCACATCTACAGTAAATGTTTCATTTCAGTGAATGATTCACTTGAGGCCTTCACTCTTCAGCACAGCTCAGTTTTATTCTTTTCTATAATTCAGATAAATATATATGTCTATATGGGGAATACACGATGGCTGGTGATACATATTCATTGATGGTAAAGTCACAAGGGAATGACTTTACAAAATGTACAACTACTCTTACCTGTAGGCTTGTACATTCTTTATACAGAATTAGAAAATTCAGTATTCAGTGTAATACGTACATTCAGATTTGGAAACATATGTGACTCCTTACAGAAAAACAGACAAACCTGGTAGCTTGGATCTAGATTCAAGCTTTCTCAATTTGGAACCTCACATTTAAACTTCTTAAAGGTTTAAGGCCTTTTAGGTGAATGCTTGCAAAAAAAAGCTTTATTTAAGATGTGGCAGCACCACTATGTATTCTGGTGGCTACTTCACAATGAAGTTTGTAGATGGTCATTAAGTTAAAATTAAGTCATCTGCTTTGGGATACCCAGAATTGCTGCAGTTATACCTCCTCCAGCCTTCTACAAGGGCAACTCTTTTGACAGCAGAAATCAGTATACGTCCACGGAAGACAGAATTGGACTCTGTGTATGTGTTTGTAATAGCTAACAAAACTGTCTTCTGATTCACTGTTTACTTGGTGATTTAAGTCCTTTTGACGGATAAGCCCTCCATTCTTAAGGGAATTCAAATCACTTGGATGATTCTGGTCAAGAGATCACTCAGTATTATTGGCAGAGGTTCCTTTAATGTGTTCCTCAATGAAACAATAGCTCTCCTTAAGCCTCCAGCTAACTATATTTTTTACTTTTCAATTTTAGTTAATATTTAGAAGAGAAAAAGCAGATATACACGAAGTTGAATTCAATAATTTTCCCTTCAACCATCATGATATTTTCATGAAACACTTGTCCTTCCTCATCAGTACCAGCACAAGTCAAAATGAGCTATGCAATTCAAATGGAATATTACACACATGAAGATGTTTTATACATTTTGTCTTTTTATGTGTGAATCATTATTATGTAAGTTACAATGGAAGGAAGAATATAGATCTGTTTATAAGATTCATGTCAGGGCAACTGGAAAATAATTTTTTAGATCATAGGTGCTAGGAAGCAGAGAACGGTTGCTTCACTTGTTTGTACTGAGCCTGATGCTATGAGTCCCTTGGATATCTCCTGAACCCTCCTGTGGTAACTGCAGTATTATTACCTCTGTTGATGATATCGGTGTAACACATATACAACCATATCTTCTGTTTATATAAATGAGAAAAACAACACTAACGCCGCTATGGTTCGTTCTGTTACAATCAATGAGTTATCTGATGCACTAACTCAAAGAAAGGTTGCAGTCATGTTGTAGAAAGGGGCTTTTCATACAGAGGACTCTGAAAGATACATGATATTGACTCAAACAGCTCATGAAAGATAACTGAGCACTTTAAAGCTAAAAATAACCGAAATCACAAATACTAGCTTAATAGCAATTATGTAATTAGTGCTGTCTGATCACATCAGAAATCACCCTCGACAAGCAGGCTCATAAGCATTAACAAAAAGCAAACAGTTTAAGTAGTGTGTAAAAGGTTTAAATTATTTAAGCTACTTCTCTAATATACAGTAATACAACTACATAATGAAAATTGCAGTTAAAAACTGAAGTATATTTTTAATTGAAGAGGGATGCACTTTTGTCAGAATATAAAAGAAATTTAAAGCTCATTTCTAGACGGCACTAAGTATGCTGACCCTGATACAGAACTTGCTTAATTTTAAGCATGTGAAAGATCCATTGAAATGAAGAGATTACTAACATGCCTGAAGTTAAAATCATTCTCATCGGTCTTTCTGGATGGGAGTCCAGAATCTATCGTGTGGAATCTAATTCTTAAATCCTGAGGATTGTACTTCACTTTTAATCTTTAAACTTAGTATCAATTCAGATTAAATGCTTTAAAAGCAGCCAAATTGTTGTTATTAGTGTTAACTAAAATACCTTTCAAAAGCTTACAGTAAATGGTTTTTAGTTGTCTCTGAAACTGTTATTTGGAAAACAGAGGCCGTTTCTCATTTAAATAGAGTTACTTTTTTATGCTGTTCTAATTGACAACAAACATAAATTACATTTACAAACATTAAAAATCTTTTTATAGTCCCTAAATTATGTAAAAGGCCTAATCAGAAATGGGAATTTGGCTTCATATTTATCATATGGTAGCATAAAAAGCCCCATAGTTTGTAAACTTTGGAAGATACTGAATTAAACTATTATTAATTCAATATCAATTACAGTATGTGCACAGTTAAATGCTAAAGTGTTCTTAGTATTTTGCATGAATTCTGAAACAGAATTTGGTAGCCAACATACAAATCATCCATCAGTACAGAAAAAAAACAACAGATGCTGGGCTATTTTTGTTGTTTAAAACCATAGAAAATTTTGCTTGGCATCAGGTCTCTAGATTTGTCTTTGAAATAACAACACAAAGACTCTGAAATTCTTTTCTCACCTAACATGAGGCTGTTTTTCTATATCATAAGGTTAATCATATGGAAATTATGCTTAATAGTTGGCTATTAAAAATGGGAAGGAAAGCGGAAAAGCTAGATGTTACCTTCATGTTTACAATTTCTCCTCCTTCCAGAATGAGGAGATGAAAAATCTTACATGCTTTCTTTAAAACACAGTCAAATGCTGACCCGTTGAATAGCAGCAGTCATTCCTAAATGGAACCGGAAGACCGTGGAGTTCAGATAAGATGATGGGACCAATAAGCTGTTTCATGAGGTGTTATATAATTTTTGGTATGTAACAGATGGGTTTCATTATCTAAGGAAACTAAAAAAATTACTTTTCATTCTATTGTAGACCCCATTGTGTTTTATGACCCGTGCATAAAATTTGAATAGGACCTATAAATGGAAGATAACAAGTACCTGACTTTTTTAGTCTGAAACTCATGTCTCCTACGGTATAGAAATATATTCATTGGCAAGTCTTCATTTTCTATCCTAGAAATGATTATGTAGTCTCATTTTGTATAGTCAAACAGCTGCCATACTCATTGCCAGCTATGAATATATACTTGGCTCCAGAGGCAAATCATATCTCCAAAATTAAATGCAAGCATAGGAGGATCATTCCTCCCTAGCTACTTCTTGTGAACCATCATTTTTCAAGTCTGAGGTTAAAACATTGAGACCTCATCTTCACTTGCATGGTGGTTGCTGATTTCAAAACAGTGAATTGCATTGACCTAAAAGAAACAGACTCTTCAGAGATGTGCACTATCAAATATACATGGGAGCAATTTTCAAGGGAATTTTAAGAGAGTGAATGTGTCTGCTGCCACTGATGCTCTTTGGCAGATTTACTGCAGTATGTAGTACGCTTCAGTCCCTCTTGGTCTTGTGTCATGGTCGCCTCTGAGCAACTGTGCATCAACCCTATCCTCACTGCAGCATATCTGTCCTTTGCCTGGGCTTAGACACTCTGCATGACTTGTTAGTTGGGGCGGGATGCAAATAAGGACAACGGTAAGTTTGAAACTGCTCAGACCTGCAAACACTTAACTGAGCTTCGTGATTCAAAGAAAAGTCCTTTTCTACTTTGAATGAATTCAGCTGAATATCAAAGGTCTGGTACAGGATACATTCTGATAAGGGTATGAAAGCATTTCAAAAGATTGGAGGAATCATCTGCAAAAGAAAGTGTCAGGCTTTCTAAATACTACTGACCAGCAAGTTTTCGTACAAAAATAAAATTGTTTTGATTCCTGTGAAGGCTTTCCTGCAGCCTCTTACATTCCCTTCTTCACCAATCATGTTGTCTCTTACCTCTGATTCTTTGTAGTAACGCTCAGGAATTTCATCGCTGGCAATATCAATAAAGCAAACTTCTCGCTCCAGATCTTTAGCTTCTTTGTCAAAAATCTGCAAGAGTTAAAGAAATTCAACACCGTAACAGAACAACACACTTACAAAATTTACCTGGAATAATGGTTACAAGTCATTTTTAGTGACTTGAATAATGTATTCTAGGCTTGCGCCTGAACAGCTTCTGATGTAAGATACTGAAGTTTTTGCAGGGACAGTCACATTCTCTAGCCTACTGCAGACATTAAAGAGAAGAAAACGGCTGTCTTCAAGATCATATATAGGCAAGGTGTTCCTAATCAAGATTAACAACAGTTTGAATGAACGACGCTACAGACTTTTTGGGGAACAATCCACTATGTCAGATCAAGAGACAGTGGACTGTTAAATATAACCCATCGTGTTCAGCACTCGCTGCTCACACCACTGTTCTTCCTTGCACTGTTTGCAATGGAGACTTCGGTCACAAGTAGTAAAGTCAACGACTAGGATTGGTTTTATTGTGTTCTCTAATCTTTGAACTAGATTCCATCACTGTGTAAAAAACCTGACTTTCTGGACTCTGGATGTTTCTAACCTTTTCACTCTAGGGGCAATAATGAAATGCAGGTGTGTCATATGAACTAGTCAGGCTAAGTTGCCATTATACCGAGAATCAGTATGCCCTCAGTGGAAGCTGGAAACTTCCACTATCCATTTGTGCACACATAAAGCTTATTTTCATTTGAATCCTTTAGAACCTGGTTTTGAACACCAAGTCTCTTGTTCTGTGCAAGGCAAATGATGGGTATATTTTGAAAATGCAGGTCATCTGCATCTGCAGCATAGTATACTTCTGTGCCTGTGTCCATAATTTAATTATTTAGGCATCTTAGTGATCCACATGACTTATGCTATCTCTGCAATAAGTTTCTACTCATGATTCTGGGACTTGGAAATAACAGCTAGTTAAAAGGCTATCATGAATTAGTGCCATAAAATTCAGGGAAGTTGTATATACACTGTCAAGATCAGTAACAAGTTAACGATGTGTTTTTTCCTTTGGGGCACAATGTTCTATAGCTAACGTTTCCAGGAAGCATAAATATTTTTGTGGTTTTTTTTTTTTAAATCATGTAGGGAACGCTCTGTTAATTTAATTTCATTTCATCCTAGAGGAACAGTTAAAAATACAAAATGCCAGCAACTATTCAGTAACAAGAATGCTACTTTATTATTTCTGAAAGAAATGCGTCTGCCTACGTAAAGCATTCGAAGTGAGCAATGGGCTACAATGAACAAGTACACCAGCTGGTAAGAACAACACTGCTCAGGAAATCATCATTTAAATAAATGAAAAGCTGAAGTTTGACTCTACAATTTTAACTTGTCTTGGTAGTTAACAGCACTGGAATAAAACAGGCAACACTGAATGCTTACTGAACTGGATATAAAATGTTAACATGTCTGAAACTGCAGAAGAACAGAACAAAGGGAAACTCCAGCCTGTTTTCATTTGTGTGCTTATTTTCCTTCTCCAATCCATGTTTTGCAAAAAAAAAATGTTGATTATTTGAACAAATTTGAGCTGAGAGGTCCTTCCCTTGTAGTGCTCTTTCTTAGAATTGGGGTACATTTTTAAAAATAACGGTTATGATTTATATATATTATATAGGTTGCTTTTTATAAGCTTCCTCACTTGCTTTTTTCCTAAACAAATTCAGATATACAGAGCAGTCCCTAGATGAAATCAGTTGAACTATTTCTGAAACATTTCACCATAATCTCTGAGCTTTAAATAAAATAATGGAGATTTCTCTTCAATGGACATTACCAGGTCAGCTGAGGCTCTGAATCAGTATATGGTTTAAGTACAAGCCTAATAAATTTAAGCACATGCGTATCTCTGCATATTGGGACTATTACCCAGTATCTTATCTGAAGAAATGTGCCCTGCTCTATCACAGGTTTGATCCACATACTGCACCTCTAAGTAATATAGTTTTAAATTCTTTTTCTCTTTTTAAAATGCTTTGATAGAAGTGGGAATGACAGATGCCTTTGCCAATCTGTCAAAACCTGGAGGAATTTTTCAACCATTTCAGCTACGCCGTATTTGCTGCTTAGGCTATCTCTGACCATTTCCTCCATTCCAAAAGTTTGTTGAATGACATTCTCACTCTCCTTTGCTGGCAGAAGTTGTTGTCTAATCATTTATGCTTCTCCCCTTAGATTGTCCTCACAAGATTTGCAGATAGAGATTTAATCTTCTCATTCTATCAGCAGTAGAAAATAAGAAGTCATTAGAGAACAAGACTGATTTCTTTCTTAGCTCCAATTCTCTTATTGCCTCTCCTAGCCACATAATCTGGGATTGTCTTAAAACCTGTAGGGAGGATGGGTTTATTGCGTTTGTGATCAGAGAGATTAGAGAAATGTAAAAGTTTTAAAGGAAGAGATTAAAGGCCACAAAAAGAAGCATAAGGCTCCCAATCTGTGCAACTGTATTTGCAAATGTGCAGAAAATGAATGGTGAGAACAATCTGTATCCTTAAGAAGATGATGTGGAAAGACAGAATATTAAATATTATATTGGAAAGAACTGGACAGGCTTTACATTTGGAAGCCAAGTAATTAATTGAGATTGAAATACACAATCAAATGGAAAACAGAGAGTAACATTCAGGCTGAAGTGTCCTTTTTGCTGTGGGTTTTGATTTTTTTGGGGGGGGGTGGGGGGTGTTGACAGCTTTTTTACAACGGACAAACATTTATACACTTCCACTTTCTGAGAGGAATGAAAACTCATCATAATTTAGACAAAAAGTGGAAGAAAGGTTTTAATTGTGTCATCTTTACAATTGTCAATAGTTTATTTTGGGGAAAATTTTCAAAAAAACCCTGGCAGATGATTTTAGTACCTCAGGAAAGAAAGATCATATAGGATTACTGCAGAAATATAAGTGCTGGTGTATTTAAATTTCTTTCCTTCGTTTTCCTCATGGCCTACAATGCCATGTCCTAGCACATACTTTTCTGGTGACTTCTCTTTTCCTTGTAGCCAAAGCCAGAACAGAAAGTCAGGTTATGAGACGATGGTAAGTCAACAACAAATTTTGTATTTTTTCTACAAGTTCCTTTCCCATTTTTCTTCCTTTTGCTCTATCTTCAGGCTAAGTTGCTGGCTTCAACCTCATTCAGATGTAGGTAATCCAAAATTTAACTTTCATGGCCAATCGCCACAGCTAACCTGGTTTGAATATAAATAGTATAAAGCCAGACTCAGCTGAGTCCATTGATTACATTCACACTGGTAAACCCCTCCCTCAGCTACACTACTAGGACTCCAGGATCAAATCTGTGCTTGTTTGGCTTGGCTGTGTTCCATAATATATGATTCTCTCTTGCGATGTTTTTTTTCTATCATCAAGAGCAAAGAAGGTATTCAAGGGATTACCAGCTGGAAAGTTGTTCGTCTTGTCTTTACTGCAAAATGGTTTTTTTTTACCAGCCTAGATACAAGGAGTTTGTGGTCAGAGGGCTGTAATAAGGCAGCTAATTCACGTTTTAAACACTAGTGCATACAGGACATAAAATTTCCTGTGGAAATGGTTAAATACCAAGTCAACTTAAAATAAAGACAAGTTGTTAGAGATGAAAGTGATAAGGCAACCTATATAGAAAATTCAGTTCTATAAACAAACAAGTTTGAAAATGTGTGTGGTTTTTTATGGAAGCTATTTTTTCCGACCCTTGTGAGGCTTTAGGTGAGAGAAGATCTCTATGTTTTTCTTACTTGTTATGTTAGATCCAGATAGTCAGCCATTGCTGAGAAATGCAGCTAACACAGAGAAATGAAATGGGTAAGAGCTAAAAGATTTTTTTCCAAAAAAGCAGAGCACTCCTAAATTAATTACAGGCAGGTAATATGGTAGCAAACATGATTATTATCCCATGTGCTAAGTAATCGGACACCTATGCCTATCTACAAACTTAAGCCAAAATGACTACATTGTTCAATATACAACGCATAAATGTAATTTATTGAGTTGAGAATTTTGACCATAAATCAAATTTCCTCTTCTATTAAATCCTTCTTTGAGTTAATATCTATGCCTGAAAGCGTTGTTCTTCTCTCTCTGCCTCCCCATTTTCCCTGCCCTGCCAACAAAGCCAACAGGCATCCCAACAAACTTAAATCTTGACTTTGCAGTAGCTGGACATCACAAGATGACATCTTAATGGGATAGGCAGGCTATGACATGAATGGCATGACAAAAATATCTTTAAACATTAGAATTTTAAATTAAATCAAATTAATCTCTGCCTTTCTCATTATTATATTAATTCATTCATTGTCATTGAGCTTCAAGAAAATGGAAAAAATACAGTATGCAGCTAGAAGAGTCCCCAAGCTTAGATGCATATATGTAACACATATGCTCCTTTTTTAACTCAAGTATTGACATTTCACTGAAGCTTTTGGGTTTTCTCTGTATTTTCTCTCATTCCTGAAATGCAACTTGCATTCCTAACTATGCAACTTGCAGGTATTGAGCAATTTGTATGATGAAGAGCACTTTCGGTGAGTAGAATACATATGTAGCCATCATTTGTAGGATGGTTTAAATCTAGATTTCATAGTATATGAAAGTTAGAGGTATAACTGCAGTAAGGACTGCAAGAATAAGCTTTTCCTTTTTTTTTTTTTCCCTACAGGGGAAAATCTGGCACAAAACCTTCTCTCCAACTTGAAATTCTAATCTCCTTAGATTGCCATCGTCAGAACTACTGGCTAGTCTCCAATTTGTTATTACAGCATCCTTTCACAGGTTGTGTCATCTGGTCCACTTTAACTCTCATTTTTCTGAAGGAAAATTTGGTCTAAAATAAAAAACCACCTACTCAGAACTTCATCTATGGAGTTTTATTCAGTGTGTAACTTTTCTGTAAGTCATGTTCCAACCTCAGTTACCCCCAAAGTCCGTTAATTTGCTTTTGAGATTTACTTGGGCAAAGATGACAGGAATTGACCAATTTCAACCTGTTCACTGGTTATAACTATTTATGTGGACACA